AGTGTTGGTAATTTGCCTTGCCTTTCTCTATGGTGACCATTTTCATTTGAGGGAAAATTAATTCTGTAGCATCATCACTAGCTAGACTCTTTATGTCCTCCCCCTACACAACACACACATCTGCACCGGGCAGCTTTGTTCCAACCAAATGCAAGGCTAATGCGGGCCTGGCATCTTTCCCATCGCTCAATATCTTGCCGTTTTGAATCTGAAGGGCAAAGACAAGCTGTTTCTCTCGTCCCTCAAAACCAATGAGAAATCATTGTTGGCTCCTGCCAGTTCATTGCCATTTTCACAGGTAGCATCATGTGCAGCCCTCACCTGTTTGTGGCAGACTCCTGGACAAACAGCCAAGACTGGGCTATTCAAGCATTTTTACCTTAGCTTTCTTATTCATTCCAGAGGCACTATTTTTTCCCTGAATAAATTGATGGAGAAAATATGGTTTCTACGTGTCAGATGTATAAGGGAGAGAATGATTTAAACCTCTCGATAGTCATGTTAAGGGGTGGGGGAAATACTACCCTCACTTGCCAGAGAACTAATGCAGCAATTTTGCACCTCTCGCTAATAAGCATCTGGAGTCTTATCTGAGGTGCTGGTTGATTCCTAGCACTGGTTGAATGAGCCATTGCCCTTATCCATACAATGGTCTACCTTGTAGGAGCATGGAGGGCACGTTTGCACAGAATCCCATCACTGTGAGAGATGAAATGGAGGTAACTAAGAATGCTTGCTCTATCTGAGGTTGCCTTGGCAAGATAGTGCTAGAGCAGCGGTTCTCAACCTATGGGTCGCAACCCCATTTGGGGTCGATCGACCATTTCACGGGGGTCGCCAAGCAAGGCTGTCCGCCATTTTTTTCCCCTTTTCCGGCAGGTGCCTTACCTCCCTTGAGCTGGGCCAGCTAGTGGTCGGCCTGCTCCGTCTCTGCCGCTTGCCAGCTACGCCTCGGCCGGCGCAGGGGGCGGAACCACGCATGTGCGGCGCTCCCAGGCAGGGAAAGTCCTCGACTTACGACCGGTTGGGTAGTCCTCGACTTACGACCGGTTGGGGGTCACGGCATTAAAAAGGTTGAGAACCACTGTGCTAGAGAGAAGGGGGGAGGACTCCTTTTCTCTTGGCAGCCCAGTGAGTTACGAAGACAGCTTTTTTAAAGGGGGCATTTACTTTCCAAATGGTGATCGACTACTGTTTTAGTTGTGTTATGCAGGTACAAGGAGACTGAATTTACATTTATGGATTATTTCATGTTTTTATTGTTAATTATCTGGAATCAATTACTTGGAATCTTCTAATAAATAACAGTTAATATATAGAAATAAGAACTAACTCTGGAAAAATTTCCTGACAGTGAAAACAATTAGTGGAATGGCT